GGGGACGGGCCGGGCCCCCCCTTCCCATCCTCTCCCTGCCCCTTTTCCTGCTCCTCAAAGCAGGGCAGTGAGCTGAGGCCATTGCTTCACTAGCTCCGCTACTGCCAGCGAGTGAGGGAGTCAGACTGCTGCAGCCACTAGCCCCCGACACCGGCTAGCTCCCCTGCTGGATGCAGGCCAGCGTTTGGGACACATGATCCCTCGTACTCCCACATGCATCACTACATCTGCAAGAATCTACCCAGCCTGCTCTATTCCTTTCTCAGCTGCCTGTGCATCTTCCCTTCCTTCTCATAAGCTATTGCTGACGCTCTCTCTCTCCCTTTTTTTAAATTAGGGACTCCACTGCCAAGCCTGTTTAAATCATCACTCCCTGCATGTCAGAGTAGAAGTGGTTCTTGTGACTGTTCAATGCATCTGCACCTCTATTTCCCTTCTGTGGTCCAGTGCTCTATTCCTTTCTCAGCTGCCTGTGCATCTTCCCTTCCTTCTCATAAGCTATTGCTGACGCTCTCTCTCTCCCTTTTTTTAAATTAGGGACTCCACTGCCAAGCCTGTTTAAATCATCACTCCCTGCATGTCAGAGTAGAAGTGGTTCTTGTGACTGTTCAATGCATCTGCACCTCTATTTCCCTTCTGTGGTCCAGGACCAGCACCCACTCTCAGATTGCTGGCTCCCCGGCTATCACCTTTCTCAGTCTCCCCCATCTGTGAGATCCCACTTAATCAAACAGGATTGTACATCCCTAATACATAATGGCATTTTAAATTAGATTTATTCAGTAATGTTTATCTTAAATCCGTAAGATTTGTCCAGCATATTGTCGGTTAGACAATTTCTCTTTGCCATTATTAGCAGTATGGCAAGTTCCTGTTACAACCAGGCCAATACCATTGGCACTGTATTTTGGTGTAAAAGGATGACTGGAAAAAAAGTCTAGAAGACTGGTAACAAATTTGTGGTAGTGCTATTCTACATCAGTTTTATTTAGTAGCATTTACATTACGATCGCATTGGAACATCTCTGTTTTCAAGGTTGTAAAATAACCTATAACAACGTATTACAATAATATCTAAAGGATTATGATTATAATAACAATAAACATTATGTGCTAATATCATTCACCATGGCTATGTCTAGACTGCTCCCTCTTGCGCAACAAAATATGAGGCGAAGCAGTGAATATTGCCACACCTCATTTGTATACTGAATGAGCTGCCATTTTTGCACAAGGGGCTTTTGCCCAGAAAGGAGCCACTTGCACAAGAGCCGTTCTGCTACTTTTTTCAGGAAGAACGGCTCTTGCACAAGAGGGGGATTTTGCACAAAAAGAAGCCATGTAGACGGCTCCTTTTTGCGCAAAAGCCTCTTATACAAAATGGCAGCTCATTAAGTATGCAAATGAGGCACAGCAATATTCACTGCTTTGCCTCATTTGCATATTTTCTTGCACAAGAGGGGGCAGTCTAGATATAGCCCATAGTTCTTTAAAGGCAAGAACAGAAATGCATTCACCTGTGTTTACACCAATCAGAAATCTGCCAACCATCAATAACTCAAACAATCCTGTTGGAAAACTGATCCCCATTAAAATGGAGGCCAGTATTGCTATGAAATTGTTCACCAGAAGAGCTCCTTTTCTAAAAGTAAAAATAACAGAAACAAATACTGTTATAAGAAAAATGTCTTAAGAGTACAGAGAAAAGGGTTGGCGTTCCAACAATACAGGTGTCTCAGGACACTGGAATAATTGATGCCTGCCTGGTTTATATTTAAAAACAAACATGCTGCTAACCTGTGTGTATGTGAACTCTCTCATGCGCATGGAGCGTGTTTCTTTATTTCCATGCACGGTGGATATGGACTACATGTGAAGTGTTTGCATTTTGTGCAGGGCCGTCCCTAGGGAGGTGCAGGGCACTCCCACTTCTGCTCTGCCCCCACCTTCCTCCATTCCAGCCTTTCCCTTCAGCCCCCTCCCCCTGGCCCAGGGGACAGCAGGAGGGCCAGAGGCCTAGCCCACCCCCAGTTGGGGGAAGTGGAGCAGCCCAGCCCCAGCCAACTCTGCTCCCCCAGCTCCCAGCTGCACTGCTCTGCTTCCGCTCACCACCCATGACTGCAAGAATAGTTCCAGCCATTCCCGCAAGCCTCTCCTCTGAGCAACACCACCTGTGGGGCTAGCAGCAAGCCTGGAGCCAGCAGAAGGGGCCAAATGCACCCCTGCACCTACCTGGATGTGGAAGTGGAACAACCTCAGTCACATTTCTGGGGGGTTTAGTGGAAGGGATGGAACCCCCCCCCCATCGTCACTGGTGATGGGAAGTGGAGTCAGGTGGGAGTGGGGGATGTGCCTGACCCCTACTGCTGGTGCTAGGCTCCCTGCTAGTGCCCCAGATCACATTGCTCACAGGAGGGGGCTTACTTGGGGTGAGGGTTGGGGCCCCAGCCCACTCAGATCTGCTAGCTCCCCCAGCCATGCCACTCTGCTTCACGCCATCCCTGGCAAGAGTGAGGAGTGGTCCCACCTCCATCACAAGGCCAGGGATGGGGCAGAGGGTTGGGGTGCGGATGAGGGGTTTGAGGCCTATTTCTCCCTTCCACTGTTTTGCTCTCTCCTTCCCCTTCCCTCTCCCCCCTAACATCCACACACTCATCCAAGCCCAGGCAGGAAGGACTCCACTTGGAGATGTGGGGATGGGGTGAATGCCATCCTGCAGCAGACATGGTTGTCAGCCTGCAGCCAGCCCACTCCCTATAGCCAGGCTGAGCACAGGGCCTGCCTGGGAGAACAGTTTGCTGCAGGCAGGGCAGGGCACAGGGCCAGAGGAAAGGCCCAGCCCTGACATTGGTGGAGCCCATCCTGCTCGCCACCTATGGCAGGAGAGATTGCGGCAGCTGGGAGCTCAGCACCTTTCCAATGTTCAGGCCATGGGACAACTGCCCCCTTTGGCCCTCCTCCCCCAGCAGCAAGCCTGCTGCCAAACAAGGGGTTTCCCTTCTAACTCTCTCTCCAGCTAAGGGATGGGGAACAAGGGCCATTGCTAAAGTGAAACCCTGCTTAACAGTTTACATGCCAAATGTCCGAACAGTTTGTCCTTTTCTGTACCTCTGAGGTGAAAGGGAGCTCATTGTGTCTGCCATGGGACTGAGCAGGCTGAGAACCTGGTCTAACGCTGTTCAGCGCTGGACAGCGACAGGGTTATGTTGGCACCTGTGGATAATACACTGGGGCTGCGTCTAGACTGGCATGATTTTGTGGAAATACTTTTAATGGAAAAGTTTTTCCGTTAAAAGTATTTCTGCAAAAGCGCGTCTAGATTGGCAAGTGACTTTGTGCAAAAGATTTGCTTTTGCGCAAAAGCATCCATGGCCAGTCTAGACGCGATTTTGCTCAAGAAAGCCCCGATCGCCAATTTTAGCCATCAGGGCTTTTTTGCAAGAGGGCTTTTTGTGCAAGAGGGCTTTTTCCCGAGCAGGAGCGTAAAAGCATTTGCGCAAGTAACACTGATTTCTTACATGAGATCGTCAGTGCTCTTGCACAAATTCAAGCGGCCAGTGTAGACAGCTGGCAAGTTTTTGCACAAAAGCGGCCACTTTTGTGGCTCACAACAGGCCACTGGCCAGGGAATGGGAGAAAGGGGAGCAAAGGATGCAGAGTCCCGCTCCTGCCCTGTCTAGGGAGGGAGGTGTCCGCAAGCCATTTCCAGCAGTTCTCATTTCATGGGTCTGGATCCCCCCAGCAGCCTCTTCTTTGAATTGGCCACAGTGGGAAAGGAGCCTCCCCTTCCATTCCACACCCCCTTCTGCCATTGCTCTCCCCTGAAAAGCCAGCCCCTTGGGAGGGTGGGGCAAGGGGCCCCTGGGGGAAGAGGCCTGGAAGGAGAGCACAGCTCTGACACTGCAGGGGACTGGAAGGGGATGGGAAAAGCCCAATGGGATGGGAGGGAATGATGTGGGGGTGCCAGTAGTGTGGGGCTGGGGCAATGAGAAAGAGCAGGGCTGGTTTCAGTCAGTCACCTGCCCTGGCCCAGTCAGGTTCACAGAAGAACCCTTTCTTAGTGCATGAGACTGTTCCTTGCTCTCGTGCCTGCTGCTGCAGCTGCTGCTTTGGAAGCCCAACCCCCGTAAAGCTTACCAACCAGCTTGGACGCCAAATCCCTGTGTTCTACTGCTTTCTGGTTTTCTCAGCCAGGCACATCTGTGTTTCCCACCCTGGCCATCAGGACCTAGGGACAGCCCTGGCAGCGAGTGTATACTAGTGTGCAGGGGAGCAGGGACACTTACATACAATGTCCATTGGACTGTATGTGCTTTATGTTGCATGGAGTGCCATGTGCTTAAATATAAGGGAACCTTATCAGATATTGACAAAGAAGGGTTTGATCAGAAGAAGTGGACTGGCAGGCTATAATTCAGAGCTCTTCTTCCAACTCCATGTGACGAAGATCATGTCTGGAGATTATGTCCCAGGGACACTGTAGAAGTCCCCATTCTTTTTTGGCTAATACCATAGTGATTCTGTTTCTACTTAGGCAAGTAGAAGTCTTCTAACTAAAGCATGTTTCCTTCAGAGCTCTTTCTCCATTTGCTTTCATGCCTTTATAAGAAAAGAAAAGAAAAGAAAAGAAAAGAAAAGAAAAGAAAAGAAAAGAAAAGAAAAGAAAAGAAAAGAAAAGAAAAGAAAAGAAAAGAAAAGAAAAGAAAAGAAAAGAAAAGAAAAGAAAAGAAAAGAAAAGAAAGTCTGTTTGCTGCCAACCCTTCCACTGATGCACCCAACTCACCTGCCTAGTTTAATGGCCATGCTGCCTCCAATGTGAGCTCCACACAGACCACCAAGGGAAAATATGGAAGCAATGACCGACCAGAGAAGAGTCAGCAAGCTTGTATTCAGTTCAGTCTGATAGCGACTGCTCCAAGTTTCATTTAGGAATTTGTGGATGTGCTGGAAATGCAGAGTGGTGAATCTATGAGCAGCTCAATAAACAATTGATCACTTACCCCCAAGGCCTGAGATTCCATCCTCAGAGCCAACATGTGTGAGGGGAAACATCTTATTGACTATCAGACATTCCCGGCTAAGCTGGGTTATGCAACAATGCTACGAACTAGCTGTAAATTAGTAGAATCCTGAGTCACTCATGTAGGCAGAATAGTCTCCCTGCTTCCCAAAGACAATTGTGCACAGTGTTGCAGTCCTGCTTTATCTCAGGGGCTACTGCTTTTAAGTAGCAAGTGAATGAGCCTTCCATAGAAAGTCCATTAAGAGCTTTCACCTTCTGCTGAATGAAGTGGGGGAGGAGGTGTGGGTGTGACTGTCAATGGGGCTTGTGCTCCCTAAATCACTTGTGCTCTTTTCAAAATTCCACCCTCCATGCAGATTGCAGAGTAGGCCAGGGTCTCTGCACTGCTCAGGCATGTGATGTGATATCCATCTTGGAAAGTTAGTGGTGGGTTATTATCAGTAACTGAGTCTGACAAGAAGCTCCAGGTCTTGGGCAGAATGGTGAACATTAACACGGGAAAGTCTGGAATCACCTACAGTTCCTCTCCCAAGGAGCCAGTTCTGGCTTGTTCCCTTTCTAGTCTTTCAGCCTGTCTAGTTTTTAATGCCCTAAGAAATAGATTCCCACCACTTCTCAATGGTGACTATTGCACACACCAATAAATCTCACTAATAGGAAATTGATCCTGATAACCAGACTAAATTTTCCTTTTCTCAATTTGATCCCAGAACTCATAGAAATGCTGTCTTAAGCACCCTATGTACTCCTCCTCTTTCCTTGGGACATACAGCCTTCACAGACTGGTAAATTGTTAACCTATACATCTCTTGGACATTTCGTTTTAAGCCCCTGTTTTAGTAGTTTTGAATGTGTTACCATTATCCATGTCTTAGTCCAAATAAAAACCCTAGGTGCCCCATTAGTGCAAAGACTGCAGGTTTTACATTTGGACTCTCTTGAATTAATGTGCGTCAGTCAACAAAGCATCCAAAGAGCAGACAAACAGCGCTATTTTTGCATTCCCCCATTCTCTTTCCAGCATATGACTTAGCCTGTCATGTATAGTGTATTTTTAACCACCATAAAGCATTAAATCAAATGGAAGCTGCATAGTTTAATTGGCAAAATAAGTCAGCTGTTAGCTGAAATTCACACCCTTCTTTTTCATGCGGCCATTCTACTCTAGTTCTCTCTGGGTCTTCTACAATAAATATGCAGGATATGTAATACCACTAAGTGAAGGTACAAAAGTTAAGGGTAAGGTGAACACTTCTGAGGGCCATTTCCAGGTATAAAGAAAATAAAAATTTCTGGACACCCTTGTATATTTCTATCAGGTATTCTAAACTTGCCTTTGTGCTATGTCAGCCATAGAAATTTACGAGGGACAAGATTTATCACCTGGAGTATGTCTAGACTACATGGTTCTGTCGATGGAGCCATGTAAACTAGTTTACCTGGCATAGTCAAAGAAGTGGGGATTTAAATAATCCCCGCTTCATTAAAATAAACATGGCCAACGCGCTGTGCCAACAATCAGCTGATCTGACACAGCACGGCAGTCTAGACTGGGGAAGTCTGTTGGCTGGGGAAGTCTTTGCTGACCAATCCTGTAAACCTCATTTCACGAGGCATAAGGGATCGCGTCTAGACTGCTGCGCTGTGCTGGATCAGCTGATTGTCAGCGCAGCAGCCATGTTTATTTTAATGAAGTGGGGATTATTTAAATCCCCGCTTCCTTGCTTATGCCTAGTAAACTAGTTTATATAGCTCTGTCGACGGAGCCATGTAGTCTAGACATACCCCTTGTGCATTCCCTTGAAACAGAGCTTAGAGGAGAATTATGTCCCTCTGGTAACTTGTCGGTTGGCATTCTCTGCAGCTGGAAACTCTCAAGGAAGATCAGAGAATCATCCAGAATCCCACGAATGAAAGGTCTCCTTCTGCTCCCACTGAAACAAAGGTGAGTTTTGCCATTGACTTGAGCAGAACAGCACATGCCCCAAAGTGCACAAGAATGCAAACAATAAGATGGTGCCTTACCACAGTGGGCGCATTGATAATGGAAACATTATAGCCATATTGAAATGTCCCTCCAATTCCTACAGCACAAACAGCCAGAACCAGGGTCCAGCTGGGCAGCTATGGAAAGAAACAAAGAATAACCAGGAAATGAGACACGTGCTGCCTCTCAGTAACTCCAAAGAGTTGCACACATCTCCTAAGTGGCAAGCTGGAGTCCAGGAAACAATCCAGCAGCTTTGCTTGGGACTTTGAGGGCATGTGACTGCCTAAGCTGACAGGATGCCTGGTTCTTACAAAGGCCTGTCTGTTTATGCTGCTTCTAACAAGTCTAATAGAGGTGAGTGGCTTTTAATTATTAACTATTAATGGATTAACATGAACTATATTTAAAAAACCAAGTGGGGATAGAGCCCCAAAAGATCAGCCTGTGCTCCAGAGGATGTTCTCTTGCCCTGAAATGCGGGGACAGAAAGTGGGCCCCTTTCTGTCCACATTCTGCAGCACGCCGGTGTGCCACGAGGCAGTCAGAGATGTGCCGTAGAGAACAACAGAATTCAAAATGGCCGCTTTAAAGGGGCAGGTGACTCTTTTTTCTCTGTGAGGGAAGCCAGTTTAAAAACCTTCCGCCCTGTGCTGCTGCCTCTGATACAGTGGCAGCAGCGTAGGGTGGCAGCAGCCCTGTCCAGGGGAGGGAGGGAGTGTGTGTAGTCTATAACATTAACCTATAAGCTTTTGCTTATCAGATAATCAGTTAATAGACTACACTATTACATCCCTAATCCACATGTGACCCAGGAGGCTCTCACCAGGCAGCACCAGTTTTAGAGCTGTGTCTTTGTCTGATCATATGCAGAAGTGTTCTGTTCCCACTATGGCCTCCACTACAAGTAACTCCATGGAGATGGGCACGCAGGGCCACATGCCTCCTGCCAATTTCTGCCAGGGTTTATATTTTTATTTTGTTTTTTGCAGGGGGTGGTTGCAAACCATGTGAGTGCACAGTAGTTTGTTTCAAAAGAGATACTAGCACCAGCGAGCTGCTCTCTCTTCATCCTCCCTCTTCGCAATCTCACCCCTGCTGGTGCAAGGTATGAGGATCAAATTCTGCATTTGCCTGAGGCTTTGACAGCTGGGCCCATGGTGGGATCACTGCTGGCCTGGAGGACCCAGTCCCTGCTCTGGTGTTTGTTCAGGACTCACACAGGGACCTCATGGGATATAACCAGGGCCATGGGGTGGCTAATGCACAGGCGCCCCCTTGGAAGCTAGGCTGGAAACCATCCAGCCTCCAGGGTCTCCCAGCATGGGTTTCCTGTTGACTCAGAGCTGGCCCCATGCTCGGTCACAAGATGCCTCCCTGCACAGCAGCTGGGAGAGCTGAGCCTGTACAGTGACCTCAGAGGCGGGGTGAG